TGAAGTCCATCGCATTATAATTCAGATATAAAATCAAGAACATTCCCACTGTCTCAGGGAGCATTGTTGCATTGTCCCAATACTCTAATTTTGCTTGAGCTGAAGATAACATTTAAATTCTCCTGAGTGGTACCTAACTTTATATCCAGAACCATTACTGGGGCTTTTCCCAGGGTCATAGAACACAAATGTGTACAGCAGTAGAGCACTGGTATATGAAGAAGTGTAAAGATTTCTTCAGATGAAATCAAACCAATGAAAGTAAATTGTGCAAGATGCAAATGAGGGTAGTCCCTGTGTCAGCCTTCTGACTGAAGGCACTCTGGAGCAAATTCACAGCAAGACAGGTGACAGCATTGTCTAAGTTTTAAACCTGCGCTCAGGGTCCATTTCTTCTGAACATAGAAGTCATATTTAAGTCCCTGGTGCATTTGCACCTGCTGTCCACGCCGCCTCCATCCACCATGTCTGCTTCTTAACTCCGGAGAGAAGGGTCTCTCCATCGATGCTGACCGCATCAGTTTCATGCTGTGCAATGATGCAGGGAGTCAGCAAAGTAAGTATAATGCATCTCACAGACAGTGACCTACTTACTTACTTAAGCTTCAGATTGTTTCCCCCAGTTCCTAATGGCCTATCACCTACAGCAAAGAGCAGAGGTCTTGCAGTTGGCTCATTTTGAAAGCTAAACAAAAGCAACCGTTGTTGGCTTATTTATGCCTCCTAATTAATATCAACCGAAGATATTTCCTTGGGGGACTTGACATGAAAAGAAAGGTTAACCCACGTGTGTTTTATAGGAACCGAGCAATCAAGATAAGGTTCCATTGTATAGGAAAGGAGACCCGCTTCCCTAGCCACAGAAACTTACAAGGAGTCACCCTCATTTCCATGGTTACACTAAGCGGAAGCCCCCTGCACTGCAGTTTCTATTGGCATGGGAGCAAAGCAAGACTAGCCCCTTCCAGGGGTCATACTTTCTCTGACATTCTAGCTGGCTCGTGGCCAGTGAGAAGGGTTATGGAGGACGTTGGAGAAGACTTTCCCAGGAGCAAGGTCAATGAGGGCAGGTGAGAATGAAGTCATTTGGATTTGATTATTAAAGGACTGCAACCTGTTTTATAGCATGGACTGAAGAAAAGGCCATTGGAGACCTGTTGTTACATTTTTGGTGTTTGGCTTTTTCATAATGTATAGAAAGGCTAGGGCCACACTTGTGTAAAATGGCACATTCTACACGTACCTAGGAACTAGTAACAGTTCATCTGATGGATCTTTTACTTTGAAAAAGTTTCGTATAACTGATGTTTGCCCAAGGGGCCCTGGTGGTGTAGTGGTTATACATTGTGTGACTCAAAAGTAGGGCACAAAGGAGGAGAAAATTATATATACATACATATATGAAAAAATTAAGAGTCAGTATTTGTTACCCCAAATGCATACCAGGCAGTGACTAAGGGACCTGCACAGCATTTGCGATTTCCTTACTTCTGGGAAAGACCATGTTGGCTCTTTGTATGACCATCTTAGATGTGTTCATCCATAAGTGTTTACATTTCTGCTGCCTCATATACACAAGTTTCTGTCATTTAGATAGATAAGTTGTTCCAGGGTTGCTCAAATAATTGTACACATAACCAAGCCCTTTTTTCTTGCTGGATCTACACAGAAAAATATGTTGTTTCCTTGGAAACACCTGACACTTGGGCACTGGTGACCCAGATAGGCTAATGGTTTATAGGAAGCTTCAAAATTGTTGCTTTGCAAAATTGATAAACACTAGCTCCTGCTAATGACAGAAGGATGCTATCTCCCTGGGGCATTCACCTGCCACCCTCACCGACAAAGGTCTTAGAGGACTAGTGGGCATGGCTGCCTGCTACTGTGCTGCTCTTCTTTAACGCTGAGATTTAGCATTAAGATGTTTGGATATGGCCTAAGTAGCCAGACTTCTGTCTCATGCTTTTATCACTCATGCTGCCCAGCAGACATTTTCAGAGTCCATTTGAGTGAAGAACGGTTTCTAGGACACAGGAAACGTCTTGCAAATTTATAGTGAAGACAAACTGCTGACGGGTTATAACCGTATGCTCATCAAATGAGACCTCTCCAACTAAGGGTCCACTCTCCCGCTTCACCAACCCACAGCCACCAAAAATGTCTTCGTGTCATGTCAAATGTGTTCTACAATTCAAAGTCCCTTCTTCTTCCCCTCCATTTAAACATCAATCCCACAGAAACTCTAAATCATGACCCAGATATCGTTGAGTGTGGAAAAAGACCTTTCAGGTTACGCAACAGATACACATTTCCCCCAAAGAAGTGAGGTAGAACCCCATCTGCTTGATATTTGGGCACATGCCCACAGAAGGAAATGTCTACTTTGCTTCCTTCATTAATGGTTGGGGCAAATGTCTGACTCCATATTTCACAATATCGGCACAAACAATTTATGATCGAAGAGGAGCCTGACACAAATCAGGGGGCATGCTCAAGTGGGACAGTTCATGCAACTCTCATTTGCATGAAGCCTCTTCCAGCCTGACTCAGACCGGGACACACAAGCCCAAGCCGGTGGTCCACAACGGAGGAGGGATCACCCGTAAAACGGAGCTCAAGGAAGAGTTCACAACAAGGAGCTCAACGTCTCGGTGCGCCTTTCAGCTCCAACCCACTCACTGCCGGGTGGTCAATGCTGACTCACAGCAACAGCTGTGGGCACTAGAACTGCCCCTGGTTTCCAAGACTGCACCACTTCATGAAAGTAGAAAGTCTTGTTTTTCTCCCACATTTTTAGCTCAGGACATAGATCTAAATTTAATATAGAATGGCTTTAAGTGATATTCTTAGGTCTGACCAAGCAACAAATCTCCAAATTCTTGTGAACTATGAACAAAATCTCATCTTTATGTTAGGGCTACCAAATAGAACTCCCTTATCTGGCTGTAATCAAAAGTACACTTCGAGCAATATGTTGTATTGTCTATATCATTTCTTGACCGACAAGAATGGTACATAGCTGTACAATTTCTTTTCTGAATTTGTCATAGATGCAATTTATACCAGAAGTAATTATCTATGTATTTTACTCTATTATTTAAGACCAATTTGGGAAGCGGGTTTATGGCTACCTGCTATTTAATTTTCCTTTTGGGGGAGGGTTGGTTTGTTAAAGAAACCCATTGTATATATTTACACAGCCCATCTCAAGAAATGAGACGTGTTTAACGAGCATCTCACAGTTTGAAAAAGAGGTGCAGGTGCCGGCTTTACATTCTTTCCCTCTTGTAAGTTTCTCAGGCAAAGAGTAATATACCACTCACCTGAGTCACCAGCGCAGGCGCAGTTCTGGGCTCACAATAAAAGTGGCTCCGGAAAAGGTGTTGAACTCTGTTCATTTCCAAGTCTTCCAGAACTGGATTTGTAAGTCTTGCGATGACTATTGGAATCAGATATTGCTTTGGAATGTGCCCACGTGTACACATGCTCACCGCAGCACCTCGCTCCTTTACGTCATCACTTTCCATTGTCCGTGGCAAGTCAATTTCAGGGATAGTTTACTTAATACTCATTTCACTTAGTGTGCCAGCCGAGTGGGATCTAGTCTTGGTGTGAGTGGGGGTTGTTCTTGGTGAATGAAAGAAAGGACACATTGAGGAAAGGATACATTGTAGCGGAGAAAAGCCAGCAAGTTCATGAGTTGCATTGGGCAAATCTCCACAAGACCTCATTAGCATATTGAAAAGTAAGGATGTTACTTTGAGGACTACGGCAGCGGCGGGCCTGATCCAAGCCATGGCGTTTTCCATTGCCTCCTATGCCTGTGAAAGTCGGGCAGTGAAGAAAGAAGACGGGAGAAGAATGGGTGTTTCTGAATTGTGGTGCTGGAGGAGAAGATTGAGTCTCAGGAACAGCTTAAAGAACAAACCGATGGGTCCCAGAAAAAGTATGACCAGCACGCTCCTGAGTGGCAATGATGGCGAAACTTCGTCTGACATACTTTGGACATGTCGTCAGGAGAGACCAGTCCTTGGAGAAGGGCATCAGATCTGCTGGAGGGGCAGTGAGGAGGAGGAAGGTGCTCCAGGAGATGGATTGGCACCCTGGCTGCAACAATGAGCTAAGCACAGGATGAAGTGTGAGGATGGTGTAGGACTGGGTAGGGTTTCCCTCTGTCATGGAGAAGATGGCTGTGGGTCAGAGCTGACTCGATGGTACCTAACACCACAGTCACCACAGTAGTCCCCCTCATAGGAAACAACCTTCTCTCTCCGTTATGAATCCTGTGCCTTAATTCTCTGGCCCATTTTTTTCTTCCGATTCCCTTAATTGTTCCTCTTCTCCTTGCCACCCCCCCCACCCCTAGAATTGTCTATTTGTTTCTTTCTTAAGACTTTAAAGTAGTTGGGTACCCAGAGGTGGAGTGCTCAGCATTACCAAAGGCACTTGTATTTCCCATTCCTTTATGCTTACCCTACAGGTGGCTGTGCCCTCTGACAGAGGATCTTCAGGTTCGAAAGCATTCCAAAGGGGCCCTTGCCCTTCGTACCTCCCATAATGAAGCATGTGAGGGGGTAGGGATGTCAGAAGAGCAGATGTGTACAGAGTGACCCGATATATCACTTCTTCATGGTAAAATGATGATAATCCTATTGCCCAGGTAAGACATGTCTAATTGCTTAAATAAAATGATTATTTTAAAAACAATTATCATAACACCAGGCAATTCCTTATTTATCAGCTGTTTATTGGGGAGGGGGAATTAAATGCTAAAAAAATTGGGTTTTTTAAGTTACTTATTTCGAAATCAAGAAGCCCTGATGGAACAGTCGTTAAAGGGCTCAGTCACTAACTGAAAAGGTGGGGGTTTGAACCTACGAGCCGCTCTGAGAGAGGGAAATACGACAGCGTGCTTCCTTAAAGATGTCTAACCTTGGAAAGCCTGTGGGCTCAGTTCCGTAGGGTCGCTGTGAGTCGGAATCACTCAAGGACAACAGGAGTTTGTTTTGAAATCAACACATTTTTAAAAGCAATTCACAAATACCACTGATTTCTAAGACAGTTGCTTCTCTACAGACAAATGTATGTATCAGTGAGCTCAGTTCACGATGCCATCACACAAAACAGACTTTTACATCTGCTACTGGTTTATTTCCCAAGCGCTGTTGCTTTGCTTAAGATTTCTTACATACAATAAACACAATTTCAAACTTTCTTGGCAATTTCTTTTCTCAACCTCTCTTTTCTATTCAAAGGTATGTGCATCTTTATCCTCTGGCAATTTGAATATATGGCTTTTTTGATGAGGCATATCTGCTAGTACTTGTGTGTTTCCTCATAGACACTATCATCAACCAGGCCAAATGTTCCTCTCAGAAAAGAACAACCTAAGACTCTTAAGGTGATCATTCTACTTAAGAAATGATGTTATAATGTCTCCTGTGAGATTTGGAACATATGCAACTAATATCCCATTTTAAAAAAAATTATGTATTTTTAAGTGTCTGAGAAATTAGATATTTTTTAGAAGTGAAATAAACTCTTTGAAAGCAATGCTAAATTTTGCTCTTAAATTAATGTTTAAAATCTATACTTGCATTTCAAAGCTATCTTACCAGTTGTACTCCAGTAAATCACCTTAAAAACGACTTTCAGTTACAATGTTTCATTTTGTTCTAACATTTTCCCTAATTTTCAGCAATTAAATATAAAATATAATTAAATACAAATCTGATACTTGTACCAATTATACATCTGTAGTTTTCAACAATACATGCCAATTAGGGCACCAACATTCCTTGTACCAGACATATCTACGTTAATCACAGCAATGGTTCATTAGAGAGAGTAAGTAATGAGTCAAAATTTTAAAAAGAAAAATCTCTCAAAAAAAGGAAAGAAATAAAGAAAGACCTTCTTAGTTACAAGTTGGCTTTAAATGAAGAGGCTATTTAATAAATCACCGTATATAAATTTGCAAAGGCATATGATTACTGAAGACCTATACATCTTCATATAAAGCAGTATCCTTGATTATCATTATTATCTATAAAGTGCCCTGAAACACATTAGTAATCAAGTCGTTCTGAAACCCTTTCATAAAGTTCTTCTCTGTGCTGGGCAAGCCCTCATTTCAATTGTTATTTTCATTACCACAGTCTCCCTCACACTCATCTTTAGGTCTTTGGTATTTGGGGGGGCAGGGGAGGGGGTAAATATACCTTTGGCACCTAGTTTTCTCAATCTGTTTGATCAGTCAACATTTCTTTAAATGATGTGCTCCCGTAGGACAGAACTCCAGACACTGAAATCAGACACCTCACTCAAACCTCAAAGGACATCAGGTACCACTTCCAACAATTTCACTAGTCTATCTAACTTGGCAAGTGATCATCTTTCAAATTGCAAAATACAGAGAGTTCTCTAAACGTCACCACCCAGGCATTCTGAAATATGTCCAACGGTGATTGGCCAGCTCTCCCACGACAATCCGTGCAAAGTGTCCATGGGGCAATCCCGAATGCACTCTTGGCTGGAGGAGGAAGTTCTGTCACAATCATCCATTTCTGCAGATTAGCTTTCCAAAAAAAAAAATCACCTATAAAAACAAATTTGACCTGCCTACCCCTTTCCTGAGCTTCACAGCCTATTTTTAAAATGCTATCATGAATAAAATTTAAACTCTTAACTAATGGCCGACTACAAATATTAATCAACCCCTAGAATTTAAAAGATAATTCCATCTATAAGACTATTTTATTAAATTTCACTTTTAAAGAGAAAAGCCTACCAAGCCCAAAAGAGAAGAAAAGAGTAAAATGAATCGATTTAGAGTAATCCAGTTGCTTTCCTTCAGCAGTTAAATCGCAATATATGCTCACCCCACGATGAATCGCTGCTTATGGTAAAAGGATAGTGTTAGCAAAGCCTTACTTGGCACAATGTAGTGGGTTTCGTGGATTTGGGCTGATAAGACAAAGCATTTCAGAAAGAACCTGCCCTTCACTGATGGTTTACAAATCATTACATTCATTTTATCCTTAATTCTCGGGGACGTAACATGAGCAATTCAAGTTACTCTTTTTTACTTTCCACTAAGAGTAGCCACATTTGAAAACAGGTGTCTTAGGATATTCAAATTCATAACAACTTGATATAAGTTCTTCCAACAGGCCTTATCTAAAAAAAGGAAAACACCCAGGGGTGGGGTGGGGGTGGGGACAACAACTTTGCTTCTAAAGGACTCAATCACCAGCTTTATAACATGTAGATAGACTTGGTGATACTAAGGATTGCTGAATAATTACCACGATTCCTGTCCAATCAGTTCAGCATGCATCTCTTCTTTGATGTCAAGTGCATTGGCAAGTAGCGCCTTAAATTAACATCGTCATTATAAACAGTACAGGCATTTAGAAACAAAGTATCAATGGACTTAACAATTACTTTAATTCATTTTATAAATCAGCAACTGAGAATTTTGCCCCAAGTGGTGGCTAGTATAGCCCATTCCATAAATGGCATTCCCCGCAGCATAAGGCACAATATGATACGAATGCAGCTCTTCTTCAAAGTAGACCGGCTGAGGACAGCATTCCTGTACCATGAACTTCAGCCGTTTTCTTGAATCAGAATAAGAAGTCTTATAACAGGGGGCTTCTCTGAAGTATTCATAGCTCTCTTTCTCTGTCTCCAGATGTATCTTCCGCAGCAGATTGTTAATTAACACGGACCTTCTTAAGTAGGTTTCTGGGTCTTCAAGAAACCTAAGCTTCTCCAGAGAAAGCTTGAGGATGCAAGTTCTGTCCTCGGGTAGTATCAGGTGCTGGAAGGCAGAGACAGCCATTAAATCCACATGGAGGGGAGGGAAGCCCAAAGCCTACTACCTTTGACCAGAATCATAAAATTGGAAAGGAAGAAGGAAGAGGACCTTACTTTTGGAAAATACCCCTGGTAACTTTGATGTAAATCTTCCTCTTCTGCATATTTTCTCTTAAAGTACGCTACTTTCGACGTCGTTAATGTTCGGGGGAAATACTTTTTGGGATAAGCTATAGAAATAAGACAATTGAGAGGGAAAAAAAGCAGATGTTATTGTGGCAACGAGTATTTTATGAGGTAGTTGTGTTGATGAAAGTGATGGCAAATAGTCAAATCGCTGATACTCGCTCAACATGCACTCAACAACATGAAACAGAAAGGACTCTCCAGGGATTGGGAAGCCCAGAGGCAAGCGCGTACCACCCTCAGCCCCCAAACACACGTTCTAGTGGGAGATGTATGCTTATGTCCCGAGACAGCCGCCAGGAAGCTAAATATGCCCACACTCTAGTTCGGATCATGCCCCCTTTATGTCACCAACGTCATTATTCACAAAACATAATGAAAGGAGAACAGTGTTTTTTTCACCCTCCTTTTAGTTTACCCGGCTGATTTAGGGAAGGTTCTTAGTGTGGTTTCCTCAACCAACTGGCCATCAAACGGTTGATTATTCAAGCACATTTCAAAGATACCACGGTGCGCCGGTGGACAAAAACCTATGACCAGGTTACGAGAGCTCCATCACACGGGGCTTAACTGAAATTAACCATAAGTCGTTTTAGGGAGCCCTGGTGGGGTAGTGGTTCTGCATTGGGCCGTGATCCACGTGGTTGGCAGTTGGAATTCACCAGCAACTTCTGGGGAGAAAGGCCGGACTTTCTACTCTGTAAACAGTAACAGCCTCAGACACCCACTGGGGTTCGCTGTGAGTCAGCATTGAATTTAGGGCAGTGAGTTGATTTAAGCGATGTTCCCACTAGCAAGAAAGAGCGTGCTGTAACACCCAGCGGTGCAGAACTTTGTTTGCATAATTGAAACCCCGTTGTTGGTGTAGGTGCAGACTTGTGGAGAAAGGGCAGTGATTCTCGGAAGCTTGCTGTGAAAGGCGTGTACACTAGGTGGTGCTCACACCACAAGAGAGGAGGCAAGCCAAGCCAATCACTGTGCAGTGAATTCGAAATTCATGAACTTCGCATGCAGATTGAATCCAGTTCAGTACTCATTCAACCTCAGAGGGCAAGACCAGAGTTCATGTCAAACATCACCTACTTGTGCCCTTGATGTATACTCTCCCGTAGGTCGATGTGTTGAAACTACTTGATTGGTAAAGCTATCTGTAGTTTTTTAAGGCACTGATTTAGTGAATTTCTCTCAAAGCATTCAATGATTTTCCTCTAAAATATTAATTTTGAGGTTTTAAATATTAACAATCTGCTCCTTAAAATATAACTTGTTTAGTGTGCTTTGGTTTTGTTTTTCACTCCGATATGGTGTGGAATTGCCCCCACAGCACTGCTCTCTCAGGGAACAGAGAGTTTGCCTTGCTGATCAATCCCAGGTCAGGTGACACTGCTGGTCAGTCTGAAAGCACCAGGCAGGTGTGGCAGGAGGAGAACAGCCACAGCAAATTGGAAAGCAAAGCGTTCAATCAACTGATTGCCTTCCCATCCAAATGCCAAGTAATTTGGCTTGATTGATTTGGTGGTTGTTGCTATTGTTTCCCTCTCTTGGCTTAGAGGCTTTCGCACCATGTTCAAAGCCAGCAGACTGCACTGTAACTAAATAGCGCAGAAAGAATGAGGTCAATTTTCAATATGAATTCCCTTAATATCTATTAAGAAGCATCCAAGACTAGTGATAGCACTAGAGTTGACAGGCCACTATTTTCTTCTCCTTCTGCAGGGTCCAGTGAATTACTATGTGGTAGAAGAGGGCGAGGGAAGCCTTGGAAACGAGAAGAGTAGCTCCCCCATACACAAACACTATTTCCTTCTATGTATCTTTTAAAAAAATGTCCGTTCGATTTATTTTTCAAAGTAATGCAATGTCTACAGCCTTTATGACCAATTAAAAACCTTTTAATGCATGACACAAAGGAGGGTAGGTGACAGCTTCGGGAAATGAATGTCAAATAAACGTATCATTCCGATTCCCAGTGCACCTTCGGGGAAGATAGTTTAACTGATCAAGGGCACAGCATTTATACCACTGTCTCCAAGATAGGCAAAGATTCTGCCTAGCTATTCCAGCAGGAAGCCTAAGCTATAGAACGTATTAGACCCTGAAAATGTTAAGGGTGAATTCTCCGGAGATGCAGAGTGGCAGCTCAGCTCCATGGGCAATGTACTTAGCCACTTAGTTTATTGCTCTCCAAAAAGACACCCCCGTGGGTTGCTGAAAGGCTGAAAAGCTTTCACAGCTGGTGTTGGTTTGACAATTACCTCTTTACAGCCTATTTAGCTATTTAGAATGTTTCCACGTCAAATTTTGGAGGAGGCTTTAAACCATTTTTAGGCTAAAACACATAGCAAACGTAAGCTCCCACACTTGTTTTCTTGGCTGGGTTCAGGGCTGGAAAGGGCTGATCATCTGCTTCGGCCCCCTCCGTTTACCGATGAGGAAACTGCAGCTCAGAATGGTTCCGTCGTTCACAGTCTGGTGTGTGGCTGTGGGTTTGGGTTTGAAGTCAAATGGAAATCGGTCTGAACTCCGGCTCTACCTCTTCCTCGTTGTGTGACCTTGAGCCAATTACATCAACACTCTTAAGTCTGAGTGATCTCATTTTTAAAGTGGAAAGAGAAATAAGGCTGGCTCCTGGGATCACTGAAATAATTCATGGAAAGTCGTTGGCACAGTGCCCAGCCCCTAGTAAAGGCCCAATCAAAGATTAGCTCATATTTGTAACATAGATCTACTCTCCAGCATAAACCGCAGCCTTGCCTCTGGGGTCTGACTCCATGGCTCTCTTACCACCCAGCCTCCCGGAGATGAGACAGTTGAAGGGCTGCAAGGACTATTTCAAGTGGCCAAGTTGAAAACTGCAGACAGATCTTATTACGGCTTCAGGAAAATGTTTTGGGCAAAGGGAACATACGCTATTTTTTGAAAACCCAGATAATCTTTTGGAGAATTAACATTAACCTGAAATTGGAATTTGCCTGTTATAGTCCACTAAACAGGTGTCATTCCATTTATCATTCCCCTGCGAGAAGTGTAGCTCAAGCCAGCCTGTCATTGAAATCATGCTGATGCAATAGACAAGAAAACAAAAAATCATTTTGTCTTCATCGTTAGTGTCCTGAGCTCTGAGGACAGCATATAAATTAATGAAAATGAACTAAAGTGAGGCTAAATTTATCTCTGAAAGTGAAATGGCTAATGCTGGCTTGAATATTCAAATTGTTTTTAATACTGTCACCTTGGGGGCACATTTTAAAAAGCATCTGTCCCGGGCAACAAGCATTTCATAGAAAACTTCAACAAGCAACCCAAGAAAAGCCACCGAGAGGAGTGACCACCTCTGTCGTTTGGAGTTCTGGCCGCACAAATTATTGATATTTCTTAAAATAAATGTTTCAAATGAAATTACAAAGGATTGCTCAACTGCTTTTCCTTATTGTTCAGCCTCCAGACAACAAAAAAAATCCTATTATTGTACAAGTGATTTCGTTTGGTCCCGGGCCCAGGGGCAGTCCATTAAGGAAAGATCATCAGCAAATTAATTTACAAACACTTTGAGAGAGCAGGCAACAGCGAAAAAGAACAACTCCTCTCAGAGTAATCCATTCTTTGTGAAAACCCCAAGCGAGGGGAGACCAGGAGGAGCGCACCGTTTCCTCGTGTCAGGAAGGTTTTCAGGTTCTCCCAACAGTGCGCAGCAAACCCGAGTTGACACTCCCCTCTGAGCTGTGTGTCCGGACAACCACCAGCAGGAGTGAGAGGGGACTGACTGAATGAGGAGAAAAAGATAGGTTCTAGGTTCAGAGCTGATTGCGTGCCTCAGTTTCCCACTCTCTGATTAGTTGTCCTTTGGATGCTGTCTGAGGGCATAAGTCTGTAAAGAGCTCACCTGTCCCTAACCATCTAAACCACACTTCGCTGAGGGTAACTGTCACCAGGCAGGGCTCCTTAAGAGCCATGGCCACCTCTGTTTGGAAAGGGCCGTGCCATCTGCCCCGGTCTGTTCCCCACAGCCCGGAGCCTTGCAGAGTACCTCCGAGTGATTACACCACCACACTCATTCAAGTCGCTGCTCTCCAACTGATGTGCTTAGTGATGTGTGGGGCGAGGCATTTCATATCATGCACGGGGCTTGGGTTTCCCCAGCCGTTAAATGATGGTAACAATATCAAGTTCATTGAGTTTTGTGCAAATTAAATGTGATGCTCTGTTTTAAAGTTCCTACTCAGTGCCCATCAAATGTTCTTACTTCCTGCTCAATAAAAGGCAGGTATTTGGGCCTTTTGTCCTCTCTGCAGTGTTATGCACGGGTAGCGTGAAACGTGAATGAGTGTGTTCACGGAGGTGGAGGAGTGCACTGTTCACAGGTGCGATGCTGTGTTGGCCTGGAGCCTTTTGGCTTTGTTGGTCTGTACCAATAATCCGCCCGCCATCTTTCCTCTCCCCCACCACCCCTTGCCTAGATCCTTTCTGGACGGTATGTTTGACAGGAGGAAAATGCAGTGCCAGCTTATAGCTCTGAATCAAGAGAGCAGTCTGTTTCTTCAGGTTTACCATCTACCCAGAGCACAAGGCAGTTTAGGATTAGCAACAAGTTGCAGTTCAGGGAAGTCATTCTTAGGGATGCACGGGGATAGTGGGGCGTTAGAAGGATTTCTCGTGAGGCCAGCTGTGTTGCCTGGTACTGGATTTCCTATCCCATAGGACAGTTTCAAGAGAGAGCAGGGGACATTAACTAACATCCCACAAGGTCTGCGGGTGATGGTCACTAAATCAAGACCACCACCATTAAATGAGTCAGGGTCAGTCATGGGACCGTGAAGACGTGAGTTACCTGAGAGGCTGCACCAAAGTCCAAGATCTGCCGGTCTTAGTTTAAATACTGTACTACGCCTTCTAGTGCTGCTGAGGTTCTGAGGGGTTCTGAGGTATGTCTCATGATGCATTGCCCTCCCCTGCCCCCTTCACCTGCCTTTCCCCCTGGGAAAGTGGAATAAATAAGAACAACAAATTAGTTGTGTTACCAGACTGAACCACATTGGTAAGAAATGCCTTACTACTAACACCTGAGAAGATGCAGTCACTTCCCTGGACCGACTGGTGCTCAGAGAGGAGGGTTTTTAAAGTTCACACATGGACAGCAGTGGCCTTTCAGAAAAGCACGTGACCTAGGTCGCCCACGCCATCTTCCACTTGAAGATGACCACACCCCTTCAGGGGGGTATATCACCAGCAATAGGGATCCAGTCACTTTGACCTCGCAGACAGGTTGCAGTAAAACACCAGCTAGAAGGAGCCATCCCCTCTCTAGTACAAAAGGTCAGCGCTTTTCTGGTGTCGGCTGACTCTTTGCCCAGGCTCCTCTGCTGTCCGGTGTGTGTGTCACCAGGGGTTGCATCCTTCACAGGGCACCTTCCCTGAAAGCACAAGAGGTGCTTCGGGAGAGCGCAATGAGGTCCAGCTCCAGCTGTCGACCCAGCCACGGTGGGAGGAGGGGCAACTGAGGCATGAAATGGTTGAAGGCACGTAAAGACAGACCTGAAGCGCCTGGCTCTTGAGCCCTCATTCAAATCGCAATAGCTACACTTTTCTGGGGGTTGCTAAGCCCGTGCTCCATCTTGATAAACATTTAATAAACAATAACCTCTCAGATACAGTCCTGCAGGGGAAATTTCCCAAAGTCAAATCTTTCCTCCTTTCCCTTTTAAAGAATCACTGAGATTTGGAAGAAATAAGTGCGAACTTCCCCAAAACACTGTTTGATGTGCTTTACTTTCTGTAGTTTGCGATACAAAATAATTATGTGTGTAGTGGGGGGGGGGGGATGAAACCCTTCACTGCCATCAAGTCTGACTCCTTGCAACCCTATAAGACAGCGTACAACTGTTCCTTTGGGTTTCTGAGGCTTGAACTCTTTATGGAAACAGAAAACCTCATCTCTCTCTGTAGCTGTTGGTTTAAACTGCTGATGTTGGGGTTAGCAGTCCCACGTGTAAGTCACTGTACCCCCAGGGCCACTGAATTGACCATAGGCACTATTTTACTTTCTAAACTTACATTTATATCCTAAGATTGAACATAACACTCTCAATCCTTTAGCGATCTTCATTGATCTCTTCCTACCACCCTGCTAAGAAGTACGACAGTGCATTTGATGTCTGCTGTTACCCCTTGGTATAAATTGAATCACAAAAATATCAAAGAATGTTTAGGTTAAAATTAAGTTAAAATTACACCTAATGATCTAAAACCAAACTAAGCTATTGCGATGAAGTCAATTCCAAATGTCTCTTAGGATTTCCAAGGCTGTCACATTGGTGGGACAAGCCCTAGTGGTGCCATGATACAGTGCTGCCCTGCTAAGCAACAGGCTAGTGAATCACTCAACACCCTCCCTCCCTGCACCCCCCTCAGCTGCTTGATAGGAGAAAAAGGCTAGCAATGGGTCCCATAAAGAATTCAGTCTAGGAAATCCTACAGGGCCATTGTATTCTGTCCTACAGGGTAACTATGGCTTCAAATAGACTAGATAGCACACAACAGTGACAACAATCACAACAAGCTTTACAGAAGCCAACAACCACATCTTTCTCCAGCCCAGCAGCGAGTGGATTCAAACCACTCATCTTTTGGTTAGCAGTCAAGTGCTTAACCACTGCGCTACCAAGGTATCTCAATCAAGATAACCAACTATTAACACGGTTTCTTTTTTTAAGATAAGAAGTGACAATTGGCAAGACAACTCCTTAAAACCCTAAGGTGTGTGTCTTCCTTAGGTTTAGTGATGAATGGTTATGCTAATTGCCTCCCACCTCCGAGCATCGGGGATGGTCATTTTAGTTTAATGTTTTTTTAAGGATTTTGCAGCATATTACTTTGACAGAGCGATCTGAATTGGTGATATTATTATTATTATTATTATTTAGGCTCCAGAGCTATTGTTGGGATGTGTTTAGATGGCTAAAGCCAGCTGTCATGAGTCATCCGTGAAGTGGGGGGGGAAAGGACCTCCACATTCTGATACTGTTCCTCAGGATGTCTGTGATTCTCTAAGGAGCGCCGGAGCCTCACGAAGGTAACATGGCCCAACACTGAGCCTGGGGTACTCTAACTGACCTGAAAACTCCCAAACACAGTGCCGGTGTAAAGAAGACTGAACTTAGAACTCGGCTTTTAACCTGCTGGCTCTCGGTTTTGTCTCAGCTTTTACACCCCTAAGTACACTCCCTTCTTAGAACTCGGGCCATGTGGCAGCACATCTGCATGTACAGCGGTGAGAGGACCCACATCCTTAGCACAAATTGGAGAACTCTTTTTGTTTTTCGTAGTTTAACGTTGAATCTTCTGACATCTTTCGGATTAACTGTCTCTATCATCAGGGTACCATTTGATTTATTTTTCTTTATTTAAACCTACAAGGCATTAGAATGTTTTCTGTGGAAGGATTTGAAGCATCTGTTCATCAGAATTGCATGATATATGTGCTGCAAATTATACATTCCTGATGGAATCAAAATTAAAATTTAAGAACCACTTCCATTTGACCTTTTTGATTTGACGGTGGTCTCAAAGAAAAAGCAGGCTCACTCATGTACATTAAAGGGCACTGAATGATTTTTTTCCGCTTCTATGCATATTACATAAGAGATGTGTATACATTACTAATGCACAAGACTCATGCATATAAATGAACCAATCATCATGGTTGCTTTACTCAAACTTTCTGCAGCTTGAGATCATGAATAGAACTCTGTACACAGATCATAGCAGATGGCAATAAATCTTATTGGTCTCTTTGGATTGCCTCCTCACCATAAAATAGAATCATTATCATGGTAGAAAGTAGAATACTGGGCAGCACCAGCAGTTAATGAAACCAGCCAGTGTCAACAGTCAATCACATTTAAAATGGCAATCTTTAGTGTTTACGATTACTAAACTACAGATACATCAATATGTGACTACAAAGGCAAAGATTTTTTAAATCTCATGATATCCATCAAAACGATACGACTACACTGGTACACCTTTTCCAATAGGTATCTCAACTTAAGCAATCTATGTTTTTTTTTATAGGTAGGGAAGAAAAGGGGGGTTGTGCAACATGATTTATGTTCATGAATTTGCAATTTCACTGTAATTGGCGAGGCTGGTTACCTATAGGAGCTGCATATGGATCATTCCGTGCATGTGAAGATCATACAAATGGGAGGGCCCATTGCTAACAAGAAGATAGGACAGAGTAGAACTGCCCCTCGGAGTTTCCAAAGCTGTAACCTTCAGGCTGCCACTCTTTCTCAAGCGAAGCGACTGGGCTGGTGGGTTCAAACAACCAGACTTCGGGTTAACAGGCCAGGGCTTAGCCTCTGAGCTGTCCACTCATTAAAAGCCTATAGTTAGTCTTTAAAAAACTGGTTCTAGCCTGGGTTTCTAGCATCATGGCCCTAAAGCAACATGAATTTAAAACAGCATCACAATTTCTTGTCCCTGGGAGAGAGCCCTGTGTTCCCTTCCTTCAGACATGTAACAGTGTGCTCACGGGGCACCCACCGGACAGGTGCCTGGAGCTAGCCCATCTCACTTGGCCAACTGGGTTCACATGGGTCTTAGAGAAAAGTCTGCCAGCCCACACATGTCCTTTCTACAGAAAACCTTTATAGACGTCTATGCCACATCAACATCTATTTCACAGAATACAGATGCAAATAGCAGTGTCTTTTAAAGCTGGTGATTACCTGGCAGCGCCGAGTCAGTCTGAGGAGCGTGTCTCGCAGACAGCTTCAGAAAACCTGGTGAGAGTCGCTCTCTGCCCAGGGAGCATTTCTCACAGTCTCAGGCTGAAATGATCGCTTCAGGCCTTCGTCTTGTGCATTCGTCAACGGTTCCCTACGAGAATGGGACAGGGGAGATCAGGACTGAACTGGCAAACACTGCTTATCAAGTCAGGAGAGACATGTGACATAGGAGGACACTCTCTAAGGTGCTGGGGGTGGGGCAAACCCCGATTAGATGGATGGAGAGATGGCTAGAGATAGACACCCTCAAACACACAGTCATTTCCATCGGCTCCGGCTTCATTCTAAACACCAGACGAATCTCAGGTACCTTGAGCAATGTGGCAAGAACGGATCACACCAGATTATTTACTGGGAAATTATCTTTAGGAGACACTGGTGGGTTGATTTTTTTTTTTTAATCAGAGGCAGATAGCTTTATTTTGTTTTTTAAAAGCCAGGTTTTGTATAATGTCCCGGGGTATTTCTCTTAAAGTACCAATTCAGCAGCTTACTCGAAGCAAATGAAGTCAGTCTTTCTCCGGAAAACACGATTTCCAACAAGATCTGAAATTGCTAAATACCGCTTCTCAATTTGAAGGCAGTGTCTATTTTCTCTCCCCATGAAGGGCCATGCTTAACGGCGGCGTTTTACATCGATGGATGCTTACAGATCTCATCATCGTCTATATTTAGAGGGAATGGCTTTCCAAAGGAGGATGGGCAGCCAATAAGGAGGATCCCACCAAAAGAGAGGTGAGTTACTATGGTTACTTTTCAGGAGGCTGAGTAGCAGGGAATGCCGGTTCGGGGCCAAAGGGACCCTTTCCAGAGCAGGACCCCAAAATGCAGGCTGCTCCCCAATGGGTGTTGATTCCATTCGATGAGACTATATCCACACTGCCATCTCAGCCTTAGACACCTGCCCGCAGCGAGTGCTTGTGCTCCTGGCCCCGCTAGCCGCACGCAGGCAGCAAAGTCCAAGGGAAGACAAGCCGGAGGCAAAAAGAATAACATAAAAACTTCCGAACACAAACCGAACAGCGATGGGCAAGGGGATCCTGAAGGACCGATGATCCCAAGGTGGTGCGGGGTTGTGTCTGTTTGGAATCAAATCGGGTTACGCAGGTGGCCCCTTCCCTGCGGGTGAGGTGGGGGCTGACAGCCCGGGATGTTCTCAATGAATGGAGCCTCGCCTGGCTTCCGAGGCAAGCACCTGACGGGGTGGGTCTGGACCTACCTGGGACGCGGGGTCCACTCACCAGGCGATCGCAGCGGGCACCTGTGTCGCCCAGGCGCGGGGCTCCCGGCTGGCTCGCTCCGGCTCGGGCGGCGCGGACCCTCTGGAGACTCGAGCCCGCAGCGACGCAACTGCAGCTCGGCGGGCAGCGCCAGCTCCCGCAGCTCGGTCCTCGGCTCGGACGCGCAGCTCGCTCGCTCGCTCGCTCGGGCTGGCAACGCCAGGCAGGCGCGCAGCTGTTCTCCGCTCGCATTGGACCAGAGGGAGCAGATGTTACTCGGTTGCTAGGAGCGTTGCTAGGAGGCGCTGACGCCCCTCCACCTCTCTGGAGCAACTTTCCCGTAGGTCGCGGAGGCTGGCGGGGGGCTGCCAGGTGGAGCGCAGGAACGCCGAGGGGTCCGTGCGAAGAACCCCGGGCGCGGGGCTGGACCGCGCGCGCGCCTCAGCTGAATCCCGGAGAGCAGGCGGCGGAGAAGGGGGTGCGGGGTGCTGTCGCTCTCCGCAGTACGCCAGGGCTCCCCTTTCCTCCCCGGGGTCTGGGGAGGTGATGGGGCCGCACTTCCCGAGGCGGGGCTGTTCGCGGTAAGCCTTAGCTGGGAGAGCTTTATGGGAGATGGGTTTGGGGACTGCAGGCGAGGGTCGGGAGGGTCTCATTCTCAAGGCCCCGAGGACTCCCTAGAGACATCTCTAAGGATGAATGCTGTTCTCCGTCTTGTAGCAGGAATCTGGCAAGGGGGTGGAGGGGAGACCTGAGTGAGTGTGACCTGGGGTTCAGCTGGGTGGGGTGAGTGGTGTCAGGGCCTCTGTCTTCCAAGACTGGCCCTCCCACGTTTGCTCGTGTTTGTGCCTGTGCGTTTGAGCCCTTGATAACGGTTCAGAGAGGTGACTACGAACTAAGCCAAGCCATACAAATCAGTACCGGAGTGTACGTCATTTTGGCGCTAGTTGTGGCTGCCTCCTGGCAGGGTGCCAGACAGTTGAAGCAAGACCCCATGATCTATCAGACTTCATTGACATTGTTTTAAAGGTCTTCATATTGATCAAAAGGCTAATTAAAACCTCAGGCTAATGTGCAGACTTCTTGAAAATAAGAATGTACCCAAAACAGGGTGCTTTGTTTAAAAATGATGCTGGAAAAGTCACGCATGTTTCTGTCTTTGATTCTTTAGTAGTTTCACCAAAAGGATTGTTTATCTCTGATAGTTCAGTTAACATGCTTTCTTTCTTTTTAACTATGGCATTTGCTTATTGTCGTTCAACAGGGTTGTTTTTCTTCCAAGGGAGGGGATCATGGGCAGCTGGGGTTAAGGCCACGAAAGAGGTAGCCAGTGAACTAAACTAAACAAGGGAAGATCACAGAGCTAGCAAAGACAGTTGGCCCAGAGCTAGAACCTCACAGAGGGGCTCTCCCTGAAAAAGGAGGCACATCATTTCCCTGCTGCCTCTCTATAGGGTTAGGCCTGGGCCTGGAAGGACGGGAACACCACTGGGAATCAATTAAAAGGAAAACCTGCAGTCCTTGGGGCCACAGTATGTTGACGACAGAGGTGGCAGGCTACCCAAGTGCAAGGCGAAGGAGGCTCCACAAGGTGACCCTTTAACTCTCAGGTTCCCTGTTTCTTCAGACCCTGACACCCCTAACAAAATGCATTGTGATGGCTTCAATTTTGATTCCTAAAATCCCTCACGTGACAGCATGGAACAGTCTCGTGGGGCTTCTCGGTTGCCATCTTTACAGAAGACTGCCAGGCTTTCTCCCTGAGGGGTGACTGGGTGGGTTCAACCCCCTAACTTGTAGCTTAGCAGCTCCATACCTCACCATTGAGCCACCAGGGCTCCTTCCACAAGTTAGTTTGTTAACCCTGGATTTTAAATGGCTCACCGTTTAACATCTGACTCTCTGGAAGATGACAGGAAAGGTCAACGAGAGTCAAACATCTGATAATGTTTAGGCCTCTGAGTCTAGGGCACCTCCAGTCCAGGAGACAGCCGCGGGCAGAATTACACCCCTTTCTTACGCACTGTGAAAGAAGGAACTCATCGCTGCCGCCTGCCCCTCCAGCTCAGCTGCGGAGATTGTTCACCTGGCAGTTGAAAGTCATCACTCTGGACTATTTTCAGATTCCTTAAATGGGAAATGGTTCCCACTTGCCTCACATATTTTGTCCATGCCACTCCCACTTCCCTTACACCTGGTGGACTCCTATTCACCCTTGAGGTCTCAGGTAAAACACCACTTTCCTCATAGCAGGTTCGCCTGTGCACTCAGTTCCCATGGACCAGATTAGCCCCTTAATTACATGTACAAATCATTCTGTTGCTCCTATTCCACGTCATCATCCCACAGGATTTTAAGCTGCATGTCCAGGATCTACAAATACCTGGTACCTCAAAGGTAATCAAGAGCACTTGTGAACGGTGGAGCCACCCTGCCTAGTCTGAGGTCCCTATTCCCCGTTAACTCTGCACCTGTCAATTATCTGACCTACACAAAAGACGAACACAGCCACTAGTTGCTGCCGAGTTTAGTTATACGAGTAGAAGAGGAAGAGTATTAAAGCAGAGGGGAGGGGTTACTCATAAAATGGTCTCCTAGCCATTAATGAGATATTGTGTTTATACAGCAACTTTTTTTTCTTCTCAACGCATTTTATAAAGGTTATACTACCCCAGTATTAATGGCATTAGAAAGTAACCTAGATATCATTTATGTTTTTTCCTAATCCTGTTCAATCCATGTCCTCCAAAATGGTGTGAATCCTCTGAGGTGAAGCACCCCAGCTTCCTTAAACTACTCCTCTATAGCAGGGAACCAATAGAGAGGTCTGAGGGGGTGTGCCCAATCCCAACAATGTGGACAGCTTCGCCTCCCCCCAGAAAAATTCACTTCAGAGGACAGCACCTAAGCTATAGCTCAGGGAGAGGAACAGGGCTGATCAGAGCACACAGGAGCAAATGAAGGGGCAGGAAGAAAGCTGATGGTGCCCGGCTATCAAAAGATATGGTGTCTGGGGTCTTAAAGGCTTGAAGATAAACAAGTAGCCATCTAGTTGAAAAGCAACAAAGCCCACATGGAAGCAGCACACCAGCCTGTGTGATCACGAGGTGTCAACAGGATCGGGTATCAGGCATCAAAGAACAAAAAATCATATCATTGTGAATGAGGGGGAGTGTGGAGTGGAGACCCAAAGCCCATCTGTAGACAATTGGACATCCCCTTACAAAAGGGTCGTGGGGAGAAGACAGGTCAGTCATGGTGCACTATAGCACCAATGAAATATACAACTTTCCTCTGGTTCTTTAATGCTTCCTCCCCACCACAATCATGACCCCAATTCTACCTTACAAATCTGGCTAGACCAGAGCATGTACATGGGTACAAATAAGAGCTGGAAACACAGGGAATCCAGGACAGATGAACCCCTCAGGACCAATATTGAGAGCAGTCATATCGGGAGGGGAAGGGGAAGGGGGGATAGATAGAGGGAACCGATCACAATGATCTACATATAACCCCCTCCCAGAGGGATGGACAACAGAAAAGTGGGTGAAGGGAGACGTCAGTCAGTGTAAGACATGAAATAATGATAATTTATAAATGATCAGGGGTTCCTGGAAGAGGGAGGGGAAAATAATGAGAAACTGATACCAAGGGCTCAAGTAGAAAGAAAATGTTTTGAAAATGATGATGGCAACATATGTACCAATGTGCGTGACACAATGGATGGGTGTATGGATTGTGGTAAGGGTTGTACAAGCCCCCAATAAAATGATTTTAAAGAAATACTCTTCTACTTCATCACATGCACAATAGAAGGAGGGTCTTTTTTTGAAGGAGGAGGAGTTGGCTAACT